TTCATCAGGGTGCTATAATGGTTACATGATGTGGTAGAGGGTGTTGTAATGGTTACATGATAATTTTAATTGTACAACTGTATATGTTGCATGGGACCCATTCGAACACGTGCAATGACTGTATCAATTTAAGTTATTATTATTTGTTGTTTTTTTAGCAGACATAAGAAACACAATCCAAAGCGCTGTAATTCCTGCAGCGGTCGTATAACAGCCCCCAACAGTAATGGATACTATGAAAATCGGGGACCAACGGAAAGAATTCCTTCTACTTCTTCATATAAAGATGTAGCTCGAAGCTATTACAGCAGAACACCCCGACAGGTATATAGATGTCCAATATTGTCATATGGATTGACTGAAATATGTTGATACATTGTGTAATTTCAATATGATACCTCAGCAGATTAAAATAGGTGAAATTTCATCTTCTAAAACTGCTTTTGAATTTATTCACGGTATATTACCCACTATTGGGTGTATATGGATACATATTAAGAAATGGTAGTACATCATCTTCTGATGTCTTCATATACCAGTCATATTGGGTCTTTCAGCAGTGTTGAGTTGATGTGTCGAGTAGATCTTGCTGACTCCTGATTCTCACTGGTTTTGGTATGTCAGAGCAGATTGAACAATTACAACACTGTGTACATAAAGTATGATAACAAAATATTGGTGATCAGATTACTGTTTCAGACTCAATTATCTTGGTTTTATTTTTGCTAATAGCTGAAAGCATCAATTTAAAACCCAGTGACTATGAGCATGCATTGTTTCTTTCACATAGCATTGCATTAAAAACCTGCCACATAAAATCCACTAAAATTAAATCCAGTTACTTTAACTGAACCAAAATTGTTATGAATGATTTACTGACCTCGCAAATTATTTGTTTTGTGTTCACAGATTTCAGAACGAAGCAGAAACACAGCAGGTTCACGTCATCACGGCATGGCCATCAACAGCATAAGTGGATCGGCGGCCGCAAGACTTAAAAATCAACGCATTGTAGTGCCAAAGCCATCCAAACTAAGTATGCCATCCCTAACCAAATCCAGCAGTAAAGAAAACGGAATTGATATGAACCGAGATAGCTATATCGGAGTTAACAAACGTGCTGACACATCAAACGCTATTGCTATATCCCCAATTAGTAATGCTACCGAGGCAGATGATTATATGGATATGTCGCAGGGTCGAAAGTCTTCTGTTTATGTTAATATCGAGCTTAGTAGTCCAGCCAAGAAAGCCTCGCAATTACGCGATCCAATGGCATTGTTTAATGAAAAAGAGAGCCAGGAATTTCTGTGAGCAGAAAATAAGTGATATCAATGTGTGGTATACATGTATGATATCACATAACGTCCATTACCAGGATTCGGATATTGTATGGCCGTTCAGCTTGAGAGCAATTTACAGATGCACTGAAACTATGTAATTGTTCTTTGAAAAAGACTAAGTGAGATTAGTGGGCAGAATATGGTTGCATTCCTATTGATAAACATTAAAAACAATTGCACTGTAACAGTGTCTACAATGTGTGTACATGTATATAGAAAAGTGTTGAGGTATCAGGTGCAACGTATGTGTGCATGTTTTGTAGGTGTTTGATATATGATGTTCATTATTCTAGTAAATTATTCAGTCATGAAATGAAAGTATTACTATGATCAGAAGTTGAGTGAACTCCAGCAGTGTGTTTAATACTTTAAATTGCATGTGAAATACAGTACAAAATTCTTTGTATGTGTAAAGTACTGTGAAATAATTTATTTTTCCTATTTTCGCTGAAGCTATGATTCACTGAAAATAAAATCCAGCGAATGAATATACCTTTTTCACTATATTTCAAACTCATCAAAAATCAGTGAAAATAAATTCCATACAAACAAGCCTTTTCAGCAAAAAGTCCAGTGAAAATAAAGTATTTTACAATACACAGTCAAATTGTGGTATGTTAGATTTCGGACAACGGAGATCACCAACAGGACAGAGAAAGATCCAGTATGACTCGAAAATTTTTGCAAATTACAGTAAAACTGGTTGTTAAAAATAAATGTGACGTACATGTTTAGAACTCACTGTGTAAAAGCTGGGATTCATGATTTTGTTATTCTGAATATGAGCTATACATTATTTTATCTTTCTTGAAAAAAAATGCAGTAGCGGAACAGTCTTATCACCTCAGTTGAGAAGTGTATCCTTCGATATAAACATGCTAGTACTACAGAGACTAATATTATTGTGTGGTGAATAAACTCCTTCAATAGCAGAGACAATTTTTTGCCAATTTTCACAAAATAAAACTCGCATATTTTTTTTTTTGCATTTTTTTTTCTCTTTTCTCAAATATTTATCAAATCCTGTACCCAATAGGAAATATGTCTATTTGGCCTTAAATTAGCACAATAATTACAGAAAAATATGGTTCCCAAAGGGATAAAATTGCCTTTTGTACATGCGTACAGCGAGCACACCTACTTTAGCCTGGGAGTACAGTGTACATGTATTCACTCTTTGATGTGAAAACTCCAGAGAGAAAAAAAAAAAAAAGATATTCTATGTGCATATTATAATACTCTGACCTTTGATTTGGGCATGTTCAATTGAATATTGCTAGATTTCAGATTAGGGACATGTACAGCCAATCAGTGATGACTCAGAATTCTGTGTCGACTACGTTAGTGGTATAGCAATTCAACATGCCATTTTTTAGTGCAATCAGAATGTCTGGATTCCAGGTTACAGCCAATCAGTGATGACATAGAATTTTGTGCCGACTACGTTAGTGGTATATCAATTTAACAGGCCATTTTTTAGCGTAATCAGAATGACTTAAACTGTAATTTACATGTAGGTTAATTTGCTATGTAAAAATGTCGAGATACCGGATGCAATATTTTTTTTATGTAAAATATTGAATTTGTATAAACTGAAATGTACAGTAACTGATGTTGAATGTTTTTTCATTCCAAAAATGCCCATTAAATGTCACTTTTTAAAAAAAAAAAAAAAATATTTTTTACTGCGGTTTGTTGAACTTTTAATATATTCTGCCATTAAGTCCAAGATTGAATCATTACAGACATCATGCAGTGGGTGTTAAAATATTGCATTTTACCCACATTGTATGTAACACTTTGGGGAGGTGTTTTTCCTCTCTTCTGTTTCTTTGGGGAATATTTTGTCAAAACCCGCAGTAAGCTTATAGCTTTTGTACATTACTGCAGCCTAAATTATGTCTTATTTAAAGCAAATTATTTTTTTTTTCGTTTTTTATAAGGTTTTTGTTAGTTATTTTCAATACTATGACTGATATGAGTGTTGTTTTAGTATAATTGAAAAAAGTCCTCACTTAAGTTTTGTTCTTATTTTTGTAATGATGCGTACAGTTTTTAACTGCAGTTTGATATTTGTACAATAAATATTCAGAACCAAACTTTGTTATATATAATTTGTTTGTGCTCCCGATTCATGGCACTACATAATAGTGCAATGTAATACTGGCGTTAGGCAGTTTTCTCCTGTATGGTCAAATACCCATCAGTCTTTCGCCCACATTGGCTTTGAATTTGTATGGCCATTGTACTGCAAACATTCACCAATCCCCAGCGAATGCAAGTGAAACAAATATATAAAACTTGAAGGAAGTTATAATATTTAAAAGCAAGACCCTTGCGCGCACTACCATGGGCATATTTTATGAAATATAACTAAGTAAAAACACCTAGAGTGCCGACATTTTCTTCTATGCCATTGATAACAAGCAATTGCTCGAAACATCTAGTTACTTAGGACAATGATTACCAAATATTATCTAATACATATCATAGTGCCAATAGTTGCACATGCCCCCATATTCAACACCCAAGTGGCAACCCAATAGTATCAAACTTTAAAATTTAATTTAGTGACAATCCTTACTGTAACCACAAAATAAGAAATCATTTTCACAAGAGCAGACACTTGCCTCATATACAGTATGTCTTTCACCCAATCTGTTGCACAAATTCATGCATTTAACACATTTGTGCTATGCAGCTATATCAATTGCAGTACTAATTTATCACCTTATTATGCATTTGACCACACTACCAAGGGAATCAAAAAGACTGGCTCAGTTTATTTGTTATTCAATCACTTCTTTAAAAGAAATAACCTTGTAGACATGGGGATCAATAAGTTGGGCGGTAATGTTTTGCGATTTCAGAGTAAGGTTACATCGCTACCTTCATGCATCAAATTCACAAGTTGTAAGTGGGATGGAATTAACGTGCGACCCAAGTGCGATCAATTAGAAGCTTGAGTGAAATAAAAGAAATAAATGTGATATTTACATGTTGCAAATGAGAAAACAATAACAGATTGCGCGAAAGCCGTATAGTAAAGTTGTACCACTCTAATATGATACAAGCGAGCTAAAAACAAATCCAGCAAAACATTCAAACACAAAATTACACATTTCACTGACAGCTTTAAGTTAGTACTTTACGTTTCCAGCTTTATTAGAAACATTGAGCAACAAGTATGTCTCATAGAATATGTTGGAAGAACATAAGATAAAGCCAGTAATGGTACATGTATGTGGCTATCGTTAGATAACATTCTTGATAACATACACCAATGTAACAGGATGGCGTAGAATAATAATGACCCCTGTACTGTTAAAAGATGTGAGCTGATGAAGAAATTGTCAAAATTTGAATGACAAATCATAGTTCATCCATAAAGTGTTCAAAATAGTATTGATAAATGATCGCATGACTTGTGGGGATAATCTGCAACAAGGGTAAGGGTTAAGATAGTTTTTGGGGTCTGGCCTGATTGATTCTCATCTAATGGAGAATCAACTGTTGAATAATTAAATTTTTTTTTCATGATGCTATGACACCGATTTCACAAATAAGACCAAAGCTCATAATTACATAGAGCATATTGTAATTCCAAATTATAGTGCATTATGGGATTGATATGACAGGTTGCGCGAGTTGATGCGATTTGTGGAATTGTACTTGATCACAGTTCGATACAGTAAAAACAGAATTTTCTATAAATTGAAATTACAATATGGTCTTTGAGCAGACCTGGCTTTTTCCAAATAAAATGTAAATGCATCAGTGAGCAATTACCAGATCTTATTTAGGATTTAAAGTAAGTGAACAGATGCAAATTACTTTAAATATGAAAAATACACATACAAAAATGACATTAACTGAAAAAATATTCTAAAACAGCATATGAAAGTTATTTTGATGCTTGTCGTTGTGTTAACATTTCTCGAATATTGTCTTCACTTTCTTTAACACTTCTTTCTAGGTAACTTTTATTGCCCTAAAAAAGAACAAAATTATTTTAATTATTTATATCAAAAATGTCTATTACTGTTCGTTTCTTTTGGACCAGACTAAAAAAAAATAGCTCAACGGATTTGCAAATGCATTTCTTCTTTTAGATGTTCAGGATCAATCTCCCAGGCAGAGTTCTATTACGAATATATCTCTGCCACCATGCGATCTTATGCTTGTCGTTGATTGGTTGGTGCATCACAGTGATACTACTTCAAAGACGCTCAAACATTGCCATGCAAGTGA